CTGATGTCTCTCCTGATATATTGGATGTGTGTGTGTGTGTGTGTGTGTGTGTGTGTGTGTGTGTGTGTGTGTGGAGATAGAGGGCATGCATCCATGTTTCTTTGTTTCTTCCTGGGCGGCCCCACCAGTACTGGGTGATTGAGGGCCTGGAGCACGTACACCTCCTCACCCATGCTGAAGGCATCTCTGGTAATGGCATCTGGCCCATATGCAGATCTAGCTCAACTCGGTGCTGACATCAGCCGGTTTGTGGCACCTCAGCGTATTTCTGGGTTGCAAATGAGAGTTTCTTAGTGCCAGGCTCGCTTGGGCTGTCACATCAGGTGATGAATTCTTTGCATCAATGGTGTGCTGCTAAGGTAAGCGCAGAGGAAGAGCGAGGAGGAGAGGAGGATGGGACAGGCGCATCGCAGCCCACAGCCACTGCTCCAGGCTCCAGCAGCATGGGATCTAAAACAGCAAGGGGCAGGCAACTGCAGGTGCCACCTGTGCCTTTTCAAAGCATGGCAGGGAAGGCACGAGGCAGGTGCAAGTCTGAGCTCTTGTGTTTTGTCAGGAACAACCATGTGGCTTTTCCTGTCCACCAATGGCCCATTGTAGCCACCTCCCACCACTACCGCAGACTTTAAGGTCTTAACTATTGGGTGGTCTTCTGGCAAAAGATGGACATCAATTATATACCAAATTCATTAGGATAAATGATAGAGTAAGTAGGCCATCATTTTTATTTCTGAATCATTTTTGTACCAGAGTACCATTAATTTATGTTTTGAAAATCTAAAATTCCATGTCTAGGAAAGCTGCTGCATTTTGTCCTAATTTCCTATTTTATTACGCTCCCCACCCCCACAGGCAGGTGACACTTTGGGACATAACCTGCTGTTGGCTTAGGCGTCACCTTGCTGCACAATCTTGCATCAGAGAATTGCTTGGAGAATCAGGTGCAGATGTGGCATCTCTTGGATGAGTGATGTTAGCAGAGATGACACAAACTGGAGGGAGGGGCATTTGGTTCTGTGGTTTTTACCTCCCTACCCTGTAACCTGTCCCTGGAGTCCCTGACAGCCACATCCACAACTTGAGACACCTAAGTGCACATGACTGAGGACAGCGTTTACATCTGAGAGAGAAAGAAGAGGTTAGAGTGCAGAAGAAAAGCAAAACCAAAAATTGCTCTTCCCTCTGCTCGCATGGCGTCCTTAATGAGAGCATCTCTGACTCTGCCAGTACCTAGAGGTAAATATATACACCAAGGTGGAGTCTCCTACTTGATATTCACCCGCAGTGGGGAACAGGAAGGAATTGCTCCCCAGGGTTAACGTGGCAGTAAGCGAGGTCAGCTGTTTCCCAGGACGGCGTAGCCTCTGAATGCCTTACATTAGAGCTGGAATGGCACAGCTGAAGCAGCCAGAGTGATTTACGGGAAAGCCGGTTAAGCTGGCTTTGCTCGCAGTTTCTGATCTTGTGGAGGTTTTAGCATCAACAGCAGCAGAGAATAAAGCATTGTGTGAGAGCATCGTCGTAGAAACAGACCCCTCCCTCTCCCCAGTTAGTCTTACTCTAAAATATGCTTGTGTTAAACAGCTTAGCCTAGAGTGTCCTAAATCAAGCAGAAAGTCAGTCGCCCTGCCTTCCTTACGAGAGACCTGGATCTCGTTCCCAGCCTATCCTCCTTGTGCACTGTTAGTGATGGCTTGTGCTTCACTCAGATGATGTGCAGTTTTCAGCAAAGTGTCCTAGGAAGTAAGGCCTGGCAATTTACTTCTGAGAGTCAGTCAGTGAAAACTCTATGGGTTTACAGTTGTCTAATTTGCCAATCATGGACATGGCTCAGGACCTGACAACATTTTGTTCTGTCGAGCCTGGGGTTGTCAAGATTTAGAGCTAATCTATGACAGCTAACAGCAAAAGGACCAGAGCTGTGATGAAGAGGAGAAGTGGGTTGACTCTGGGGTTTGCTCTGGCCCGAGGGGTTCACCAGGATCTGGAGTGACTATGCTAACATTGCAAGAGTCCTGAGTAAACTGGGAAGTCAGTCACCCTGAGATGTGTGAGGATTTATATATACGTGGTGGTGGTGGTGGTGTGTTCATGGAGGAAATAGAGGGGCAGGGGACAAAGCTAATGAGATTTTTTTTTTTAGATAAGAAATTTTTATGCCTTTTTCATCAGTCCAACTAGCATAATTAAAAGGCTAGTTTTACTTTCTATCAGCTTGAACTCATTTCTGCCTCTACCATCTGTGATTTCTCTGTTGCCTTTGGCATCTTGCGCAGTGGTCTGAGAAAAGAAAACTTTTTAGAGAAAGAGCTCAAACTTCCACTCTTTGCCTTATTCCCACTCAGAGATGGCACAAAATTCTCTAGGAACCTTCTGGATACTAGAAGGTCTTACCCATTTCTTCCTAAGGAAGAAAGCACAGAGTTAGTTTTTCTTACTGAGATCTTCATTTCTTTGGCACAATTTATTGCTATTTCAGGGGAATGATAACGTGGCTATGTAATGACAGTAGTGATGATGGGTGAGAAGTGTTGTAAACTTTTTTGTGTCCTGTGCTGTGATGGCATTGAGTGCTAACTGCTTTCATAGAGCTCCCTCATCTGCTTGATTCAAATTTGTTTTCATATCAGGTTGATTCTTTTTAAACCTTTCTGTCTGCTCTGTCATTATTCCTTAATATCCAGTACTGCTCTGCTATATAAATACATTTACACACACCTCCCTGACTGTCTCTCCACCTATCTGATAAACAAGCACATATAAAAATTATTATTAGGACAGACAAATATCAAAACACAAGCAGAAGTTATCTCTGAGCGATAAGATTATGGGTGTGAAATTTTGTTTTTAATGTTTCTCCTATTTTAATTCTTATTTTTATTATCAGGAAGCATAAATGACACTCCAGGAATTTCTTGGGGAATAAATAAATACCTTTCTCAATCTAAAATGCTCTTGGTTGGTCACTGAGGCTAAGATACTGTCACCCCTAAGACAAGCCTGCATTAAGAAATTGAATAATTCTGTTACTGATCATACTACAGAGTTCTTAACTCCAACAAATTGTGAACAATTCTCATCTTTTTTGCTCCATTCAATCTGCTGTCATAAACAACAGGAGAGAAAGCCATCTAAGGAGAAAAAGAGCAGGGGAATTACATGCTTATACAAGGCTGTGGGAGCATTTGAATTCTGAGCTGATATTCCTCTGTTCAAGCTTGAGGGCAAGTATTCCTCATCTGCATTTCCTACTTTCAACTTTTTGGAATCCCAGTGTATACCTTGCGACTCCTTAGTTATAGACACAAATTCACCTTTATGGGAATGGATTTGAATGAATATCCTTGCTTTCTTGGGAGAAATTGAAGCATCATTTGAACAAGCCAATGAGAAAGAAAGCCAAATAGATGAAAATTTCAGAGACAAAGGAGCCTGATACAAAAGTCAGAGGCCTGCATTGTTTGAGCTATAGACCAGGAAGCCTGCTTCTTCTTGCACCTTCAGCATTCTTGTGAATGAAATGTGAGTGGACAAGTGTTGGTATCTATGAAGTATTTGGCCCAGTCCTATGTACGGTGGTTTATTTGAACATGTAGTAGCCATGGTTTTGCCCAAATTCCCATCCACCCCCACATATGCCAGGGGATAAAAGAGAGGGGCTGTGATGTTGTAATTCTTTAGGAACTGCATTGTTAATCCAAATGTGATGCTTCTTTGACAATTCAAATCTGCTAGCAGCTCAATGAGCGAAAGATGGACAATTTACCGTGCAGTTTATAGACTCTGAAAATCCCCTGGAGGGTCAGCTATGAATCAGTTCAAACTTGACAGCAATAAAAGAGAAAGGAGAGGAGGGTACAGTTTAAAACAAAACCAAAAAAAAGCAAAACCAACGTACCACGGATGCCCAGGACCTTGTCTATTGAACACTAATGGTGTTTCCAGATATAAGATCTGTGAACTCCAAATGAACATGGTGATTGGGCATGAGTTTAGCACACTTAACATTTTGGTACTGTGAAACATATAAACAATTATGGGTTACATATAATGAATTAGTCACTACAGGGGTTCACTCCTCAACTGTTTAAGAAACAGGATCTACTTTGCAAGGTGTGATCATAAGGACAAATTCCTGTAAACAATTCCATTGTTTGAGTACTTCTGGTATTAATCTTAGAAAAGTGATTGAACAGTGATCTGTCGATGAGGCTCAAACTCAGTTTCCCATCTCCCCAACTCTTAAGTCATCCAGCCCAGTCCTTAGCTTCTTGCCACCATTGTTTTGCTTGTTACATTCACCCTAAACACCCTCTGTGCTTTTCAAGGCTCCTTTCAAAGTATACTTCCTCCCTGATGCTCCAACAAGATGTGATATTGCCTTTCTTTGAACCTTCATAACAACAGCTCTACCATTTTTTTTTAAGTCCTGCCTTGATTTATAGTTCATTCATACACTGTCTTAGCCCTTTCCTGAGGACTTGAAACTCACTCACTCATCATCGTATACCCAAGTCCGTGCAGGAACCTGGGATTCCACAAACAGGGACTAGCTAGAGATTGAAAAGTACTTAGAAATCAATTGGGCCAATGTTCTTAATATTCTAAAGGGAAAACCATGGCCAAAAAGGTGAGGGTGCTTTGCCAGGATCAGCAGCTAGCTGTTGCCAAAATCGATACTAGAATGTGTGTCTCTTGGCCGGCAGAGCAGCTGTCATTCTCCAGTTACACACACAATAGTCATCTGATGGTTTGAATTAAAGCATCTTTTAAGAATATGCATACATTACGCCCAATGGGAGGGATTACCATTGGATCCAAAGGTTCACTGGGAAGACCCAAACTCATCATGGGTGGTGGGAATAATATCTTCAACAGGAATAGTGCCCCCTGTGCCAGGCACCATGCTAGGTCCTTTACACAAATTGGCTCATTGTCATTGTCTGCTCAAAGGCCACCAGATCTCAGAAGACTGACTTCTCTCCCTTTTTCCCTTCTAGGCTAATGGAGGTTGGCAGGATGCTACTACCCCTTCATCAGTGACCTCCCCTACAGAAGGCCCTGGCAGTGTTCACTCTGATACCTCCAACTGATCTCCCCGCAATCGCATCCCGGCTGACCCTGTGCCCCAGTCGGTGCAGGGGCAGGAGGGAGGGTTTCTCTCCCAACGCTGAAGCGGTCAGACTGGAGGTCGAAGCAATCAGCAAACACAATAAGAGTCTCCTTCTCTTCTCTTCTTTGGGATGCTATTTCAGCCAATCTGGACACTTCTTTATACTCTCTTCCCTCCCCCCCTTTTTTTCTGGGTAGAAGCCACCCTTCCCCTGCCTCCAGCTCTCAGCCTGGTTTTGACATCTTCCCTGCCCCTCTTCCCCCTGTCCTAGGCTTCCTGGGTCCCTGCCCTCTATTACATAACGGAAGGATATTTTCAACCATTAGAGGAATTAAAAAAGGACAAACAGTGACAAAGAAAATAATAAAGGTGTTTGTATGCTTTCATGCTGGTGGTTTGAGGAGCCAAATTTACCTCACTCGTATCCCGCATTCCCGTTTTAACAGGCAATTCTTTTCTTTTTTTCTCTCTTCTTGTTCTCACTACCTCTTAGCAGAATTATGCCACATTGCCCTACTCACTCCAAGCCGCCCTTTCCCATCTCACTCTTCCTTCCCTGGGGATAGTTCTGATTGGAACACTTCCCTCCTTCCTTCCCAGCCCCACTTATTCTTTGGGGACTTCCATAGCTGGGCTTTTAAAGCTGCCACAGTTTCCGGTTATAGCTCTTTTAGGTTCATTCTCCAACAGGAAATCAGGCAGCAAGGGAAGGCACATGACTGAAAGGGATGAATTCCCACAGGCTTCCTGATCCTGCCAACAATAGCTCTTGGTGTTCAGAGGCACAGTCTTTGAAGATCTTGCAACACTCAGAAAGCAATGTTCAAATCCACATGCAAAACCAAGTCAGATAGGTATGTTGATAAATGCTTCTCTAAGGAGTAGAAGGTTCTTAGTCTGAAACTCCACCCATCCCTTCTTCCACACACACGTACATCTATATACACCCATGTACCTCCCCAATCATTCACTTAGCCAAAATCATTCACAGCCATATGCAAATACCTCTATTATTAGCCAGATCATTATGCATTGTGAGCTCAGTAAAGGGAACTAGAAAACCTGAGTGCAGCTCATTGACACACAAAGAAGGAATATGAGTTTGGGGCTTCCATGACCAACAGCATATACAGGATAGATCATGATGGCGGTCAAGTTTCTATGTAAACTATTCTTATTGCCACCCCCTCTGGAACTCTAAGAGAGCCACACACAGTACTTGTAATGTCTAAAATAAATTTTGTTTTGTTTGAATCTTAGGGACATTGCAGTAATTACCCACAAAGTGTTGTATGTCACCATGTTCTTGACTCCTGACCTCTTGTCCTAGAGGAGAGGGTTGTGTAACATAGTGGGTATTTCTTAGTTTAATGAGAAAACCTGAGGGTCATGAGGAAAGAGGGGGTGATGTTTTCACTGAGATCACAGTGATTTTTATTCTCGGGCATAATTTAAGAGAAAAGACTGGGTGCTAGAAAGCAATCTCTAATGTCGTTTGATTTTTCATTCTTCAGAGTTGACTCTGCCAGTGATAAAGATGGCAGCAGTATCCACTGATTAAGAAGGCAGTGGCGAAATCTCTTGGTACCTCAATTTCATTTTCTGTAAAATGGGAATGTTCACCAAGAGACTGAGGAAATTTATTTCATTCATACTCAATCTGGAAATGTGAAGCAAAGAGAAGTAGTGTCTCTGAGATAAAATTATGGCCCATGGGCATAATATCATGTAGGCACAATAAATGGCTTTCCTGTTATGACTCATAGTTCCCATAAGCCCCCTGAAATCATCATCATCATGATAGAGAAAAGTTGTTGTTGTTGTTGGTTTTATTATTTTTATTCATTTGGTTTGTTAAAATACTGACAGGTTAAAAAAAATAGAATGTGGTTCTCTTGGTTTATGTTTAAATTCAGAATGTTGTCAGTACTTAGTACTGCGTCACCTTCACTCTGGTGGAGAGCCTCTAGGTAGAAAATAAGACCCTGAAGAATGAGGCTAGCTGGCTTAGCAGGTCATGGAAATTCCTCCTAGCACTTCAATAAGGCATAACAAACGTGCTCCAGAGTTGTATGAGAGGGTAGCAGGCCAGGGGGAGAGAGGAATTGGTACATGGAAACTCCATGTATTTGAAGGAAACAAAAAACCCCAAATATTTGTTTATACTACTACCCTATGCCATGACCAGAAGAGAGTTAGATCAAGAGAACTTTCAGAAGAAGCTCTACCATGATTAAAAAGAGTAGAAAGCTATGTCTCAGAGGTAGACATATATTGATTGAAACCACATTTTGCATTTGAGCAAAATACAAAGAAATTGAAGGATTCTCTTGGAAATGGGAAAAGTGATCCAAATTTTGATGAGGGGAAAAAAGTGCATCTCAGATTGAAATGATGGGAAAGATCAGAACAGAGCTCTACTTACACAGGCACTGCCCCTCACTGAGGGTCTTGCACTGGTCACCACCCCCTCTCCCAGCATCTCCCTCAGGACGCACTCCTCTGAGACCACCTCCCCACAACACCTACTATCAGGTCCAACATGGCAGCCATTATCTCTCAGCGTTTAGCCAAGCCTGAGCACACTGGCAGTAGAAGGATGGAAATGGAAACAGCTGTGCCTCTGGAAATACAGCTCCCTGGGAATTCAAGTTCAGTCAGTCCTCCGGGCATCACAGTATGCCATAGGAGTGTTCATTCTCTAGCAGAAGTAGAAGCTCTCCATTCTCCCTCACACCAAAAGTCCTCTGAAAAATGGTACCACTAGACCTTGAATTTGTCTACCTTCCAGCTCTTCATTGTATCCTCCTTTTCAACCTCAACTCCTCCTCCCTCTGATGTGGAATTGACTTTCTTGCAGTGCGTTAGCCTAGTGGCACTTTCTTCACATTTGTTTTTTGTTTTGCGGTGGTGGTTCTCTCTTTACCAGTTGCCTTTTCTTACACATATCTTCTTCCTCTCTTTCCTTCTGCCTTTTTGTTTTTCTGCCCAGAAAAACCCAACTTCGATACCAAAAAAAGATAAAACTACAGAAACTCAAATTTAAACAAACAAAAAAATCTTTTCAAAAAAACCACAAAAAATACTCAACAATTCTTTCAGCTTTATTGACATTTTTCCATTGTTTCTTGCGACTTGTGTCTCGTTCTTTGTAGTATTGATGATGAACATTTGATAATGAATGTTCTTGTATATTCAGATAAAGGAGAAAAAAAACCAAAAAAGCGGTCTGAATTTAATAGTGTTTATAATAAAAATTTTAAAAAATGTCCCTCATAGCACGCAAAACAGGATGGGGACAACCCCCTGTTCTTTCTGTGACGATGCGCATCATTCCCGCATTAGTTTTTAATACCATACTACCTACATTCATCATTTCCCTCATTTTTCTTTTTATTTTCTTGCATTTGTGAATTAGTTCAAGAATGCTAGAAAAGTGTCGAGTTGTGCACATCCATTTCCTGTTTCACAATGTTTAAAAGTGACGGTAATTCATTTTGTAAACTTAAAAAAAAAAAGGTTGGAATAGTGAGCATAATAGGTACAACCTAACACGTTATTATGTTTTTAACTTTGAAACCCAGAAATAAATTCTTTTCTTTATTCCTGCTCTTAAAAATACAAAAAAAAAAGGACAAAAAGACAAAAAAAATATGTTTTTGTTTCATGTTATCTTTGGTTTGTTTATTTGGGAGGGGGGAGCTATTTTTTTTTAATTGTCAGAATTATGACGTTGCTGTTTTTGTTCCTTTAATATGTATACAAGGTAATGTGAAAAGCTGACATTGGTAGAGTGAACAATTTCCTTGTTCTCTTTGCCTCAGAATTCAGTTGACTTCAGAAACAAACACAAAGCCTGTGTTGAGGTTGCATCATGCATTTCCACAGGACAAGATACTCGTGTTCAAAATAGGCACCTGGGACTCAGATTTTGAGCATTTAAAAATTCAGTTAATACATTCAGGGGACTGTTCATACCACTGGGAAGGTTTTTGCCTTTGTATATTCTGAATATCACAACGAGGTGCTTTTCTTTTCTGTCTCCCTAGTTAATAACAATATTCCACAAAGCCTCTTCCAACCAGAGAGCATTTTTCTTCCAGATGATGCTGAGTAGAACAGACGCAGGAAGCCATCCCCTGGCCCCATCTACCTGTAGACCCTGTGAGTCTTTGGAGTAAACGCCAATGACCTAGTAAGCTAGTCACCATGCACTTACTGAGCTGTAGTTTTAATGCTGAGAGTTGCAATGTGTAACCCTGGCAGCCCACCTGTTCCTAAACTTTAATTCAGGGGAGCTACTTAAAACAAATTGTAGGACTGGCTTAATTTGGAATGTTTCTATTCGTTGTAGGGAAAAAGAAAGCCATGTTATCTGGAAGAAACTTCTTAAAATTGTTTTACCTTTTTCTTTTGATACATATTGAGTGTTCAGAAACCAGGCAGAACCTAAGAAATAGTGAAGATAAGAAATAAAAAATGGTGAGGCTACTGTATGACATGTCTCCAGCAGACACCAGTGCCCTGTTTAGAAATCCTAACACAATCCTGATGAGCTTTTCACATCACCTTGGGTTTCAATCCATAACTCAAAGCTTTCTGGAATCTTTTAATTTTTTTGTGTAAACATTGTTTCGGCTTCCCCCCCCTTTTGTTAAGACAAATAAAACATTCAATGCCCCTCCCCTTTTCTCTTATAACTTCCTTTCCTTTGGCTTTGAAGAGTTTTTAATTATTTTGAAATGCTTTCCTTTGTTTGGTGGTTTTATTTTCCCTCTCCCCACCTCCCCCCTTTCTCTTATTATTCAGAGTATAAATAAACTTGCAAAGCTCTGCTCTGTTTTGGTTTTGAAAGTTTTAAGCTTTTCTGCTTCTGTGAGAGCACAGGCTTCTCTCCCTTTTGATTCCAACGGAACTTTTGTGTTCTCTAATGATACTAACACGGTGTAGGTTTTACAGTCTCCTAATTTGTACTGGTAATGCATATTCCAAATAAATAGTTTCTTTTGTTGCAAAAAAAAATGCACATACATTTGTATTTTGTGTAAAATTTCTTCTTTACTCGCGACAGCTTGCCCTTCCCAAACTTGGTATTCTTGTGTGCTGTTAGACTGGAACTGACTCATAGCTGACCCTCCATCATATTTTCATAGGCAGTAAATTGCATGGGAGGAAACTGCACATCTTTCTCCTTCAGGGAAGCTGGTAGATTTGAACCGTGTGCCTTTGTGTTGGCATCATAGCTTCTTGCCATTAGTCCAGCAGAGCTCCTTATTCCCCCAAACTAGCCTTGGTTAGTGTGGATTACCATTTAAACTGTACCTTCATCATTTTAGTCTGCAGATTACATCAGTAGAACTAATAATCTGGTAAATCACCTGCATGA